AAACACTGCCGTGCAGAGGAAAAACGCCGTATGAAAATTCGAATGTTGCCAAATTTACTCTCAGAAAATATTTATTTTTGAGAAAAGCTACGAATATTTTCCCTTGAAATTTTGAGACTTTTTAGATCAAACTACGAACAAAATCCTCCGAAAATCTGAAAAGCAATATTCAAAAATTTTCCTAAAAATTCGTAATTAGTCGAAGGAAACTTGGCAACGCCGGGTGGCTCATACGCCGTTTTACCTTAGCAAGGCAGAACATGTTTCGATAATATCAATAGATCGAGATTGATAGAAACGCATAAAGTCGCATTTGGGGGATTAAATGAGGTGGGAATCCGTCGAATCGTAGATTTTCAAAAATTCAAAGTAGAGAAAAACTATTTTCGACGTTCATTGAATCTTATAGATGAACATATTTTAAAACCTTTCCCTCCAGTTCAAGCTTGGTGCGTTTCTATTGAGCTAGATCCAACTCTGAGTTTGGCGTCACGTGAGTGTGACGCAGTGACGTCCGAACTGGACGTCCGACAAGCTACCCGGTCCGTCGCGCGTCGGTCGGACGAACAGTTCCTCGGCAGTTAACTGTACAGGTCGGCTCCATTCCGGAACTAATTGGCCTTTCCTGGTATAATACTCAAAGCCGCGATTACATCGATGCAACAGTGCTATTCGTTTATTGACCGCGCACTTCATTCTCACTTCCTGCATTCACTGCTGCATCCCGCGCGGACCTGGTATAGCGGTCTCTTGAATTAAAAATCCGGACAACTGTTCGCAGTGATCGCACTTTTCTGACCGTGCAGCGCTCAATGAATAATATTCTTCTTCTTCTACTTCTTTTTCTACTTCTTTTTCTTCTTCTTCTTCTTCTACTTCTTCTTCTTCTTCTGCTTCTCCTTCTTGGTCCCGGACGATTGGTATCTTGAATCTGCTGAGCTAGAACACCGTATGAGCCATCAGGCTTTGCCAAATTTCCTTCGATAAAGCACGAATTTCCAAGATTTTTTTTTATATTTCTCTCTAGGTTTTTCAGACGATTTCGTTCGGAATTTTATCTTAAAAAAATCTGAAAATTTTTAGTAAAAATATTCATACTTTTCTTCAAAAGTGAATATTTTCTAAGAGGAAATTTGGCAACTCTCGAATGCTCATACGGCGTTCTTACTTATTGTTAGCAGAGCAGAATCGAAAATCTGGACAACTCGTCGTTTCCCAAACGAAGGAACGTAATTCCATTCCAAGCTTGCAAAATTGACTCAAGCAATTCAATTGTTAACAACTCGCACCCATGAGATTTTTATCACAGAATTTGTCTAATTTTTGCGTGGGATTAGAAGAAAAATCTGAGAAATTTGCAGTTAGAAATGATCAAGTACATCCTGGTAAAACTGCAATCTACGAGTGGGAAGTTTGGCAAAACTAAAATGAAGTTACGTTCTTTCGTGCGGGAAAAGATGAGCTGCTTAAATTTTCTGACCGTGCGACGCCGAACGAATCGCTCAACACGCCATTCAATGGAAAACGAAGGTAATTTCAGGGGTGGCACATTCCCAAAAGAGAGAAGCCGTTTTCACCCATTTTCGTGGTCTCTATTTGCAAATTGATGGTAAAAGTACGATACTACTTCGCTTGATTTGCAACGTTGCAAATCCACCATCATATTTCATTCCCCTGAAGAGGGTCTGATCATCGATTTTGCACTTTTGTATGAAGTGAAAAATAATGGATATTTTGATTTATTTCATATTGCATTATTTTTTTTAAAAAAAAGGCAGAGGAAAATGAGTGGAACCGTATTATACTTTTTTTAGGCGAATGAATTATTTTCATGAATTTGCGCCCTTTTGCTTCGTGCTGAGCTACCACATAGTTCAACCAGGCTTCATGCAAATGTTTAATCTAATTTCCATGTAAACACAAACTCGATTGAGAATATTTTTTTTTTTTTTTCCAACAACCCAGGCTTTCACTCCAGTCAACTTTCCGAATTTTTTCATTGTCAACACCCACCGCTCGCGAAATAATTTGTTTACACTCGGAGGATGAGCGGTGCCCTCCCACCACCACCCCCACCCCGAAGGTAAAAGTCAAACTTTGCTTGAATAGGTGACGACAGTATCGGGTTTAACCTTTCGAGTTTCCCGAGGCTCGATATTCAATTAGAACTTTCCAGCTGAGCCAGCTACCAGGCTTGCCAGTTGGAGCTTCAATTACGCGAATTTCACCCGGAAACTCAGATAATTTAACGCTCTAAACGGCAACGATGGAAGCGGCTAGAGTAAAGCTATCGTGGGCGGCGCGAATGTGACTTTTCCGAGCGGAAGAGACTCTAGAACGCTAGTTAACGCCGGACGCCCACGCGAAAATCAACCGTATCAATCGCGGCGTTGCCAGATTGTAAAAAATAATCGGATTTATTCACACTGATTCAATTTGAGAAGGGAAATTTTTCGTGTAACATATGGTGGCACCGATCGGATTATCGGCCTGCTTTCTTCACTTGACGCCGCTTCGCGCTATCGGGCGAGCAATCTGTCACGTTATGCGGACACCTCTGTTGCACTCTTTGTCGCGGAAATCGCTGATGCATGTTTATTTTTTCAGACGCGTACAGGGTGTTTGTTTACTCTCGGGCAGGAGTAGATTTCGAAGGTTAAAACGCTGAATTGCGTGTCTTGCATCTCGAAATTGGGGGAGCATGGCCTCCGGGAGCGTGCGTTCTCGACTAGAGGCGTTAACTGGGGTCCCTAGATCGGGAGAGAATAGATAAACGACAAAACGTGAAGCTCTTGGGGCCATCTCAAAGAACACCCTTTGCCCCATCGCGCCTTCAATTTTGCAGATGCAACACGGAGATCCATCAAGAACGAATAGTTGTATCTTTGCGCCGTCTTGAACGCGCGTCATTTTCTTTGCTGTAATTCCATGTTTTATTAGCTTTGTTTGTCTGATTTGTAATGGTGCTTCAAGGGCTATGTGAGTGGGCATCGTTTTTTTAACTTTTCTTCCCAATCCGAGCGAAATTTAATTGGCAGCGAAGAGCGGAGCGTTGTGACTTCATGCCGCGCGCCATCCCGCCTTCAATTTTGCAGATGCAACACGGACATCCATCAAGCACGAATAGTTGTATCTCTGCGCCGTCATGAAGCGCGTCATTTCCTTTGCCGTATTTTCATGTTTTATTAACTTTGTTCGTCTTATTTGTAATGGTGCTTCAAGGGCTATGTGAGTAAACACAGCCGAAGATAAAAGAGACGTAATGGGGCATGGTTTTTTTAACAGTTCTTCCCAATCCGAGCGAAATTTCATTGGCAGCGTAGAGCGGAGCGTTGTGAGTTCAAGCCGAGCGCCATCCCGCCTTCAATTTTGCAGATGCAACACAGACATCCATCAAGCACGAATAGTTGTATCTCGGCGCCGTAATTAACGCGCGTCATTTCCCTTGCTTTATTGGCATATTGTGTTGGCTCCGTTCGTCTTATTGTAGTGGTGCCTAAAGGGCCTCGTGACCGACACAGCGATTCTGTGACAAGTGAAATGGCCGATTAAAAGGATTTAAAAAAAAAAAAAACAAACAAACAAACAAAAACCAACTCAGCGCGCTAGGATCTGTGAGACCGAGACTTATTCTATTTTTCCTTAAAAAATTTTGTGCGTACGTTGCTAAAGTATGGGAACAAAAAAAGCTAGTTCTGATACTTTTCACAGTACTTTTTTTCGTGATCTGCGCATCCGGAAAAAAATCATACTCGGTGAGATTTCCGTGAGTGCGAGCGTTCACTTAATGGATGTTAATCACCTAGGTCCTCGTCAAAAACAATTTCTTTCCGTACTAAAAGTCGCGCACTAAATGCTGAGTGTCTGATGCGTCCGTGGCGTGCAATGAAACGAACACGGGGAAAGAAAGTGTAAAATTTCCTCAATAAAAAATACCAAAAAAACCGCTTAAAAAATTCAGACATGTCTCATAAGCTTCAGGATCCGTCTATTTTTTGCCCGTCCTCTGCTTTCGGCCGTTTTCTGGGACATTTCTCTCTTTTTCGCTTTTTTTTATTTTTCCAAAATGAGGAAAGTTAAAATTATTGCGCGTCAATATTCATCCTGATTCGATTTTTCGACTGTGATTTTAAATGATTAGCCTCATCACCATTTGCCTGATGTTCCGGCGGTGCTTGCAAAAGAGTAGTTATCACCGCTGAAATGAGCATTTTTCCGTGTCTGTGAAATCTTTTTGTCAGCAAGCAAGTAAGTAAGATGGACTTTTCACTTTCAAAGCAACTTAATAGATAAAAAGCAGAAATTTAAAACAACCGAAGGACCATCCAGCCAGGTTGCTAAGATTGTGCAGGGTGTTTCTTACTTTAAAAGAACCAAAATGTTTCGTTTCATGAAATACTTAATTGGAAAATTTCAAATCGCAGTCTCAATTAAAAATTATAGGTTGTTAAATTCGCATGAAATGAAGAAAAGTTGTACGAACATAGTAACATTTTATGCCGCTTTTCATGTTTTCAACATCTACTCTGTAGTTTAACATTATTAATAGAACATTAATTAACAATCAATGACCCATTGACTAAAGCACATTTACTTTTTATCCCCTCTCTTGCGTAACTGATCACCCATGTTTAAGCCCGAAAATATTGAACATGTTTCATTTCAAACATTAGTTGAGGTGTACGATTGCTTCACCAAGTTTTTTGATAGGCGCATCTCCTACTGTTACCTGCAATTTTTCCAGCTTGCTTGGATAATGAAAACGAAGTCCGTGGATGGATCATTATGTTCGGTCCAAGCAAAAGTAAAAAAATAACATTATCGATTGTCTTTTAATTGAATAGGTAATCGAATTGAATTCAATGGATAATCTGTGTAAATTGTATGTGCAATTATAAACGTTTAGTTGACCTTCTCGATTCTAGGCGACGTTTTGAAGCTTACAAGTTTGAGGTAGTAGACGAATGGAGCCGAGGGAAATGAAATCCTTCTTGATTGCGATGCTTACCATATCTTGGTTCTCTGTTCCTGGTTTGGATGGGCTGAGGCAGATATCACGGTCGGAATCCTTACCAGAAGATAATCGAAAACTTTACATAGAAATTCCTTCACCCAACGCTCAGCAGCCAACTTTATATATCTGTAAACCCACTGGAGATTATGTGAGTAGCTGAATGGTGAAATCGGAAATGTTTATCCAGGTTGCAATGTCCTTACATTTTTACCCAACTATATCATTCCAAGAAAAAAATGAGAGGAGGGGCAAACTTCAATCCCTGCGTTCATATTTTTTCGTGGGCACCAACACTATGATTTTATCTTTGGTAGTACCGCAACATTTTGGTATGTAGCCTATTTTATTGGAGTACTACCACAATTAATTGGAAGTGTCCAAGCTGTTGCTCAACTCCTACCTCTTGTTTCTGTGGGCGTCGCAGAATTTCTATCATACTTTATTTTTTCTTCAGAAAACCAATCAACGTAGCTACTTGAAAACTTCCTTGAATTTTCCTCTCTGCCAACAGAATATTCTATACATAACTTAGCTATGAATGAAATAGTAGTCCCATGAATTTTAACCCGTAGACGGCCTCTTTGCGTCTTTCCTAGCAGGACGTATAATTTTTTGAATATTGATCCAAATTGAACTTTAATCGTGAATAACTCGCGAACGTAAAGGCTGATTTTTTATCTTCTTTCCAACGGGGGGTTGCCATTTGCCCTGCCCCCCGGGGGGGGGGGCCCATCGATGAGCCCCCTTGAAAAAATTAGCCCCTTGCCACAATGAGCAATGGTCCAAACCGAAACCCTGTATCTCTTTTTGTTCAAAAGTTATAGACACTTTTCAGTTACTTTATGCCCACCCTGTATATATTTCAAAGTACATAGTCGGCTTGTCTCTCTTCAAAAAAACCAAAAAAAGCTGACATTTTGAAACCCTGCAACGGAGATACGTGGTTTTTCACTTTCTTCATCCATTTGTGTCTGTGTCTTAGATTCCACTGAAGTGTACAAGAATGAGGTCTAATTCAGACACGAGGGTAGCCGTTTACTCTTCTGCCAACTTCTACATCGCAACGAACCTGATGGTCGCCAATATGCGACCTGTCAACTCCGTGCCTTTGGAGGGGGCCAACAAAGTTCCATCAACCCCCGTCATGATTGGGATCCCTACCGAAAATCCTTTGACGTGCGTTTTCTATGGCATTGCCGAAAACATTGCTGTTTTACGAAAGGACGTTGAGAAACTATCACCCGAATTCTTAAACGAGAAGGATGGATGGGATGTGGAAAAATACTACTCTATCAACGATAAGAAGACTTTTATTAGGTTTTACTTCGCGCGAAGGATGTATTTCACGTACGCGTCCACTTTAAGGCGAGTTGTGAGCAAATTCAAGCCGCAAGGAGCCACTGGAGGGAATCCTTTCCCCAAGATGCAGATGCTGTGGTCATTTTCATTTCAGTCTCATGTAAGTCGAATGCTCTTACATATTATTACTGTATAAACAGTCTACTAACTGCAAATGCGTATCTCTTAGGCCTGAAAATTGTAATATCTGCCCCTCCCTCCTGCACATTAGGAGACCTCTAAAAGCTCCCCTAAACCCGGATTTCCTCGCCAAATTGCATAGGAAATGAAAGCGTCCCCGATATTGTTCAGAAATTAAAGGTAGAGAGACCTTAATCCTTGAGCCTTGAGACTGAATATGGATTGATTCGGTGGCGATTCTTGAGAGTTAGCACCACTGTTTTTACTCCATTTAAATATAGATAAAACAATCGATTCTCAGTGAGGCTCTTACGTCACATAAAATCGATATTTTAAATGGGTTTAAATGGAGGAAAAACAGTGTTGTCATTTTGAAAATTCACTTATGGATTCAAACCATCACAGCTTATTCGTCTCTCCTCGAAAAAAGTAGGTAAACATGCTGCGGCAATTTTAAAATTGCAATCGAGGTACATATTTCCAACTTTCACCGTCATGTGGACCGCGTTAAACAGAAAGGAACCAAGCCACATCAGCTATTTCCTTCAATTGGGCAATTTAATTTTTTAAACGAAAACAGTTGTGCGTATTTTCCTGCAAATCTCAGTGAACTTTCTCTACAGTACGAAGCAAATTCCTCAATATTTTCAAAAGAATCCACACAAACGCTCTCTCGTAAGAAATTAAATTGCCCAGATAAATGGCAATAGCTGATGTGGTTTGGTTCCTTTCGGTTGAGCGCGATCCATATAATTCTCCTTTGAAGTGATTACTACAAAAGCGCGACTGTATCACATCTGTGGACGTAACTAAATGGATTTTTAGAGGGGGAGGGGTACAGTGGGGCACACCTTCACAATGTTTCTGTAGGAATGAAGATGTTGCATGTGTGAGGAATTTGCGATTTGACTATTGATTCTTTTGTAAAAGTTCGCGAGAAAAACGATACTGCCACTGGTTTTCCCTGAAATCGACTCCCAAGCTCAAAAAAAGTTCTCAAGTTGAGGCCAAAATGGAGGGGATACCCCACGCTATCCTGGGAGTCCACCTCCACTTATATCAAGAAAAACTCTCCATGCAAAGATAGGGAGCAAATTCATTAGCAGGGTTGCCTTGTTTTCAGTTTTAGAGTTCCCAAATAAAGTGGCAGCCCTGTCAATGTAGTTGCTCTCTATCTTTGCATGGAGAGTTTTTATTGATGTAGAGGTGGACTCTCAGGATAGCTTAGGGTATCCCCTCCATTTTGGCCTCAACTTGAGAGCTTCTTTTGAGCTTGGGAGATGATTTCAGAGAAAACCAGTGGAATCATCGTGTTTCTCGCGAACTCTTACTTAAACATCATAGTCAAATCGCAAATTCCTCACACATGCAACATCTCCATTTTCCCTCGACTCGGAGCGCGGAATCGTGGGAGCGGCGGGGGNGGGGGGGGGGGGGGGGGGGGGGGGGGGGTTCAGGGTTCGGCCACTCTGAACCCTTGCAGCTCTAACGCCACTGTTCCCCAAAATTTCCTCTCATGATCTTATCGTTCCTTTTCAGGGTATGGGAAGCATCCCGCAAGCCTCAAAAGCAGCAATGTCCCCGTACAACCCAAAGGCCTCTCGGCTACCAAAGGCCACCGCGATGACGGGAGCCACAGCATTTTTATTGAAGAAGATGATCGATCCCTGCTCGGATATGACGTTCCCTAGTGACTTCCCAGTGGATGTGGCAGGCGTTCCGCACCAATCACCGGACGATTTCTGCTCGACTTTCTGTCAGTTCATCGATGTGGCGGCCCGTCTGAATCCCCGAAAGGATATGATCTGTCTGTGTGCCTCCTCAGGCGGCACCTGTGTCGAGAACGTTTGCATTTGCCAGAAAACGACAACCATCCCGACGTGCCCCCCGATTCGCGAGGGTAAGGGCACCTTCCGCATGTTCGTGTGCCAAAATGCTCTGAGGGACAAGTAGAGACGGTCCCTCAACCGAAAGGCAACTTGAGGCGTCTAGTTCCAGAAGCGGCAATCTCCTTACCCTGTCTGAAAAGTGCACTGGAAAAAAAACACATTGGATCGAGAGTCCAGACTCTTGAAAACATTGACAAGAAAAAATACTCTTGATTCAATCGGATTTTTGCTTGAATCAAAATGAAATCCGTTTAAATTTAGAGGTTTTGGTTCTTGATTTAAGCTAGATTCTGATTGAATCAAGAGTACTTTTCCTTGTCGATGTTTTTAAGAATCTGGACTCTAGATTTGTGTTTTTTTCCCCAGTGTGTGCAATCATATTAATTTTCTGTGCGGAACAATCGAAACGTCCAGCCGTATTTAACATTTTCTAAATTTTCTCGTTTAATATCAGAATATTCACGAGCAAACAAAACATGTATGTTTTTCCGTCCTTGCACTTTTAAAATTATAATGATCGCACAGTTTTTAGACAGGGCAATGGAGATTCTCGCTTATGGAGTTAGACGCCTCATTCGAGGATAGAGGTCCTCGCAGATGGGACGAGAATACAGCTGAAATGCGGCAGAACAGTCCGGATTAGAGTACCAATACAGGGTGATCCAAGATTAAACGGCCAGACTGCAGGAGCCGAAACTTCCCCAAATCCGTTTTTAATTTATAATTCCGCCTTACCTCCTTTTATTGTCCTTCTTTGATAAGCGTGTAAGTAATCCTTACTTTAACTGTAATTCGTATTTTGTGTGTATTTATTTTGATATTTTCTTTCTCTTACAGTGTTTGTGAGCATTTACATAATTTACATAAATATTATAAAAAATGTAGTAACCCGATTTCCATCTCCCAAATTCAATAAAACCCGAATCAATGCATAGGCAGGAACCAAGTGGATGGTAGTTACATCTTAGATTCCAAACTAGTGAAATCGTTAGGAAAAGAACCGCTTGCATAGTGATGCGTAAGGAGTTCTTCCGCGCAAATAACGAGTAGGGAGCACACTGAAAAAAGTTCTCGGCGTTTTTACCAAGATTCGTAGGTACCTTTACCATCTAACTTTTTTTACCAATTATTGGTAATTTTACCAAGACAAACTGGTAAGCTTACCTAAAAACCGGTATTTTTACTGTTTTTTTTTTCAGGTAAGAATACCACTTTTATTGGTAATCAATTCCTGGTAACTTTGCCATTTAATCTCGGTAACTCTACCACAGTCGATAAAAAATATTGGCGTTTTTACCAAGGTCCAGTAAAATTACCGAGTAGAGAAAGCTCAATAATTTTACCGAGATTTCTCGGTAAAATTACCAATTCCATAGATGGTAATTTTACCAAGAAAAAACTGGGATCAAATAGAACCCTGAATTCTTGGTAATTTTACCCTTTTCTCAGTAAATACACCGATATTTTGTTTTTCAGTGCAGACCTCCTGTTTGCCAAAAAACTTGATACTCCTTAAACTCGGTTCAAATCGTACCCGATGAGTTTTTCTTTACCACGAGCGCCGATTTGATGGACTCTTTGATCCCTGTCAACAACGATTTGCACGAAGTGTCGCACTGAGTGCTGACTCACCTGATGCGTGTGATCTCTCAAGAAAAAAATGAAATGAAAGTGATAAATTTTCTCGACTGTAAATACAGCAAAAAACACCTTAAAAAGTTCCAATATCCGTGGGCTTCAACCTTTACCTCACCTTCCGCATTTTGCGGAGGATATTTTGATCAGCTTTAGATTTTTTCTTGGAAATAAGAAAGGTCTCAAACTTTTCGTGCGTCAATAATAATCCATGGTGCAATTTTTTGTGTATAATTACGTCTATGATAAAATTTTCTCACTTTACCCGACGTTCGAACAGCAGTTGCAGGGGAGCAGCCTCCCCCGTTCATTACATTTTAAGCCTTCCCGTGAAACTGTGAAATCTTCCTGTCAAAAAGCTAGTAAGTTTGTTTGAACTTCTTCCATTTGATTCCACTTAGTAGATGAAGAGTGAAAGTTCAAGTACATTGAGCCTTATCAGGTGTCCTACAGATTGTGCGGGGTGTTCCTCATTTTAAAAGAACCTTTAAAAGTCTCCTTTGGTAATGTATTGGCTGTTTGAAAAATTTTAAAAAACTCATAAATTTCAAAGAGAAAACTCTTAAAAAACAATTAAAATATCCGAGTTAAAAGACTTCATTATTATTTTTTGAAACATTCCATTCTGCGATTTTCCAAGTTTTTTACTTAAAACAATTCCCATAAATTTCCTGTACCCTTTCAGTGTTGTGTAGTGCAGATTTTGCAGTTGATTTTGTGTTCAGAATCCATATGGTGGTTTTCAGAATTTAACAAACTTTTGATGTTAATTTTCATTCATAACTTTCTTAAACGTAATTTCCCACAAGTTTTACTTCAAATAGAACAAAAAGGGGCTCCTAATTTGCAAATGTTTACATTTAAGGTCCAAATTTAACACTGGAAAATTCGTTCTAACTTTCAGCCCTCTAGGTGTAATGAGAATTATCATTTTCCGACCACTAATTTTCCCTTAAATTGAAAACAAAAAAATTGCACCAGTTCAGCAATACCCCATGGCGTATTTAATGAGTTCAATATTATTCAGGAGTTCAAAGTAATTATTATTTTATTTTTTTTAAAATTATTATTATTTTTTTTACTACTCCAAATAGCCCACCAGGGCTAATCCTGCACTTTATTCTCGTCCCTCCTCCGTCCCTACAACCAGTCCCAGGCAACCGTTGTTTGAGACCATCAAACTCGGGTCGCCCGGCTGGGAATCGAACCCGGTACCTCCCGATCATAGAGCTAGTGCAGCAACCACTCTACATCATAGGAGGTCGACAAAATCGGTTTTCGATTAATCGATTACTTTTCGATTGTATTGAAGGTCCAGCCGAATTTTTCCAGCTTGCTGCAATGTGAAAACCAAGTTATTTTGTCTTTACCCAAGAGACGGATTATGAATAGGAGGATAATTTTGTATTGAATGATTAAGGTTTGGACTGATTTTTTATTTGGTATCTTTCGTCCACGAGAGTTAAATACTCGTAGAATTTAAATTGACTTATTACATTTCAGGGGTTTTTATCTAGCAAAGTTTAAGATAGTGAACGAATCGAATTGGGAGGGAATGATCCCTTACTTGATTGCGATGATGACCATATCCTGGTGCCTCTATTCTGGATTGTATGCGATGCAGCGGCAGCCGTCATCGGAAATCGAAAATCGAGAACTTTACTTGGAAATACCTTCGTCAAACCGCCAGCGGCCAGCCATGTACACCTGTCAAACTTCCAAACGTCAGGTAAGTTGCTGGATGACAAAAGTCAGGGAAGTCTTCCTGAAGTAAGTAATGGGGCCATCAGTCAAAGTGCGGCTTTAAACATTAAGTTATGTGTTTTCTTATCAAAATTGCACTTAAAACATGGCGAGTTTGTCAAAAAATCACTCGACACGTCTCTCAATAGCCAACATGAAGGTGAGTTGTAAGGATCAAGGCTAGAGACCGAATACACACAAGTAGTGTAGTACGATGTCAACAATGATGATGCCAAAAAACGGTTAAATATTTTTTGAATCAAAATATATAGAAAAAATATATCAAAATATATAATATTTGCGGTGAAATATTTTGCGGTGCAACTTCAGAAACTTTAACATCCTCATTAAGATCACTTTTAGATTACGTAACGTTACGCCGGAATTACGGGAATAAGTATCTGAGGTGCGACATCAAGAATGATACGTGCCGATAAGATTACAACGTCGTCGTTGTGATCACCGCAGTCTATCAATCATGGCTCATGGAACGATAAAAAATTGTGTGTTCTCCGAATAGGTAACTATTCGCACTTCTCGGTTTGTTTGTTGCCTATGCAACGGTATTGAAGGCGCACCTCAAGTGGGTGGTATCCATCTGTCGGTTCACGCATGTCGACGGTGTAAGTCGGCAATCACATAACTTGGTTTGCGACGTCGCAGACTTCCTGTCATACTTTATTTTTTAGACGGAAAACTACTCAACGACAATTCTTTAAAACTGTCGTGATTTTTCTTCTCTCTGCTAAGAGAAAATTCTGCAAAAACTTCAAGGAATGATGTCAATTTGTTCTCCTTTAGAAAAATAACATGGAGGCGGAGATTTTCGGACACCGCAAACGAAATATGTGATATTGCAGACTTACGCCGTCGATATGTTCTCTTCGTTTAGCAAGTTTATGGAGCAAGGTTAATTTGTATTTTTGTATAAAATAGACGTTTTCAACTTTTGTCAGGAAAATCCTGAAGAGTGTCAATTTGTCAATATGTCGCGAAAAAATGTATCTCTATTTCAATGCCACCGAAATTACCATCGTAAATTGAGTATTAATCAGAAAAATCTCGGGCATTTCTAAGCAAAAATTTCCCTGCACGTTAATGTTGAAAACAATCTAGTTGGGCATCTTTTCAAAATGAGCCCTTCAATTGGACTGAGTTCTTCAATGAGAAACTACAATTTGTCTGTCATTTTAGAAACAACGTATGTTCCATCAAAGTATTCCAATACCTATGCAGATATGTATTTTTCAGTATGCGCCAGAAATTGTAGTTCCTCGTTGCAAAATGTAGTCCGATTTGCCTCGGGACTTACCTTTAAATACTCTTTCTCATGTCTCAGCCGTACATAACGTGTTCACAAATCTCAGACCTGGACACTAGGATAGCAGTTTACTCGACCGTCAACTTCTTCGTGGTGACCGACCCCCGTGTCTGGTTGGACTTAAAATCATCCGTGCGTCTGGGGGAGGCTAAGGTAGTCCCGTCAACCCCAGTCATGCTTGGAATCAGACCCAGCAATCCTGTACGGGACTTTTTCTTTGGCTCCGCCGTGGATGTCGATCATTATCGAGCTGACGCCTGGGCGCTATACCCCCACTTCCTAGACGGACATGAGGTAGTTGGACTGGTGAATTATTACGCCGTCAACGACTTTGGGTTTTTTTCAAAGTGGGAGGTAAGAATAGAATACATCACATACGTGTCCACTTTGAGGCGAGTTTTGAGTACATACAAGAAACGGCTGCGTACTGGAGCGTCTCTCTCTAGGTTGGAGAGGATTCGTTCATTCCGATCTGAGGTAAGTCGAATGCTCTTTCGTTATCTTTGCCATAGACTAAGTGCATTGCATTTTGCAAAAAGGAACCAGAAGCATTGCAATGTTGCTAAGATTGTGCAACTTCATCCTTTGCGATAAAAATATTGAAATCCTGAAAAAGTATGAAATTTACACGGTAATTTTGTCTTAACTTTAACAGTTTTTAGCGAGTAAAAAAGAAACTGTTTATAGATGATCCGATTTTTCTTCCAAGACAAAAGAGGTCGCACAATCTTGGCAACATTGCAATGCTCCTGGTTCCTTTTTGCAAAATGCAATCCAAGCGGACCGGGCTAAGCAGAGAGAAACCAAACCACATCAGTTCCTGTCGAGGGAAATTTTATTTTTTACATGAAAATGGTCATGCGGATTTTTGTGCAAATTTCAGTGAATTTTCTGCATAATTCGGAACAAATTCCCGAAAATTCCTGAAGGAATCGCATAAATGTTTTCATGTAAAAAATTAAATTGCCCGGTTAAATTTGGCAATAGCTGATGTTGCTTGGTTTCTTAATGCTGAGCGCAGTTTAAGTAATGCAGCTTCCAAAATCCAGACCAGAGCAGGGCCGGATTTACTTACTTGCCGCCCACAGGCCGCCTGTATTTTGCCGCCCCCTCTCATTCGTTTTAAAATATTAATAAAGACCATCAAGTGAACGTGCCGAAGGGGGAGGGGCGCATAAGACGTGTTTACTCGTGTTGGACACATTTTTTTGCGAAACCCCTGTAAACACTACTAGCAAAAGTTCACGGAACTTGGCGCGAAAGTTAAGTTTCTTAGATCTATCTCTGAGTGGACAAGGCCTTCCATTCATATGAAATGAACGAAAAAATTATGAAAGAACAAACATAAATGTGGTTTAATAATTTTAACTTCCGCCGCCGCGCCGCGTGACGTGTGACTGTGTTTGGCGCAATGCGTGAAGTATTCCTACAGTCTTGTATGCGCTATGCGTTTCACGCCGCCCGCTGCTGACCGCAGCGACCGCACTGTCCTTGACGCAATGCGTGAAGTATTCATGCAGTCTTGTAGGCGCTAATATGTGTTACATGCCGACAGCCGCGCCGCGGGTTCCTCCTTTTCACCTCAAGTTCTCGTCATCTTTGCTCTCTGCGTCGCGCCGTTTCAGGCCAAATTCCGTGTTCGGTTTCTCTCTAAGTCTTAACTCGACTAATTAAAGGTGCTGTCAATTGTATCACAGAAAGACGACACAATTAGAGATATACTCTCAGGAAATAAGAGATTTTGTCACCTTTTCTCGTTTGTTTTTTTTTTTTTCTGAATCCGATTTTTCATCACAGCTACATTTAAAAAAATTGCAAAATGTGCCGCCATGGGCCGCGACCCATGTGGCTACCCCCTGAATCCGGCCCTGGACTAGAATCCTCTCTTTATAGATTCTTATCAACTCAGAATATACTCTCTCGTAATGATAGAGTGCGTCAGATAATGGAAGTTGAAAATGACATCGTGTTCGACGTCATGACCAGACAGCTTGTCTGGTATGGTCATGTCAATAGGATGACTGAAGAGAGGCTGCCAAAAAAGATGCTTGATTGGGTTCCTCCTGGGAGGAGACGTAGGGGTGAGAGGTTGGCGACAGGGGGTGTTGAGTGAGATGAGGGAGTGTCAACTCCCTGATGACCTGTGGGAAGACCGAGCTTTGTGGCGATTGGGCGTCGTAGAGCGCCGAAGTGCGCTGTAAAAGCGACTCATATGTATGTATCAACTCAGATCTAGTGGCAATGATTATTTGGAGTTCAGTTCCCAAATGGAGGATAGTCTTTGTCACATCTGAAATTTTTGCACATTCATGTATAATATTTTAAAACTTGGCTAATTTTCATCGAAGCATTAGAAGCTCGATCTGATTTAAATTTTTAAAAAATATTTGAAAAGTCATCAATTTTCAAAATTTAAAACTCGAATCGATCATACCTTGGCAGAGAGGAGGCAATTTTGGCGTAAATTTCCGCTGGTAGATTTTTTCTGCAGGAGGATTTTCGTCAGTAGACACCAATCAAATCAATTGGTCGTTATGTGCGTCATTTGGAGGACCAAAATATTCGCATGGCGTGCTTAGCGATGTACCGATGGGAAAATATCAATAAACAGGGCTTTCGCAAGAATCCCCTTAATAATCGATGCTTTACCATGGTTTTAAATGGAATCATGTCGATAGTCGATCATTATCGCCTCTCCACTGGACCAAAAGCTGTCTGGTAATGCCGCCTCGCCCCTCGTAAAATCCATACTTATTACGATTTTAGTGCCGTGGCACTCATCATCTCTCCCTGTACTCACGTACAAACGTGTTCACCTTCGTGAAAAGTTACAAAAAATGATTGGAAAAACCAATAAGTACATCTCGTGGTAAACGTCTAGTTGACGCAGTTTTCCGGTCTAACGTCATCAGTCCTCCTGTCAAAATGTTTCAGCAATTTGACGACCCCCCCCTGCTAAAATGATGGAGAAGGTAAAGTAACTGCGGATATTTTGAAACGTCGCAACTGAGATAATGCTTTTCGACTTTCACCTTCAATGACATGGACTTTATTTTTCTCAAATGATATCGTTTTGATTCGAATGTTTTCTTAGTCTTTTTTCATATGCCACAAATCGTAAGTTTTCCACCGATGACGAGGAGTAATACTGTGAAAATGAAAATAAACCTAAAATTCAACTAAAGATAATCTTTAAAACGAGAACAATTCTTTTAATAATTTATTGTTAAAGAATGGAAAGAGGGTTATTCAAAATCGGCGATTTTACCCAACGCTTGGATTTTGCCCGGAGTTGGATATGTTGTTCCCTATCACAAGACACGCCTTTTTCCGGCATTGGCAAGTTCACCCGAAATTTTTCCCGCGCGCTACAGCGTTGCCAAGTTGAAAACAGGCACATTCCGTAAGTGGCATTAAAATTGAGCTATGAAGTTGCGGTTTTAACGNAACCCTCTTTTTAAAGATTTTTTCAGCGCCTTCTCCGAGTATTCTTTGAAGCTCCTCTGTTCTTTGAAGTTCCTCCAGTATTTTACATTTGCTATTCTTTAACTTGCGTATTTAAATTTACTGATTATGCGGCCATCTTCACTTTTCCAGAGTTCGAAATGCGTTGCCCCACCCGTGAAGATTCCCCCGAATGACCCAGTCGCCGCCATATTAGCGAGGAAATTTACGATACCGGAGGCCATAGCATTTCTATTGCAGAAAATGATCGACCCTTGCGCGATTATGAACCCTGGAGACTTCCCATTGAAGGTGAACGGTGTTCCGCACCACTCGGTGGACGATTTCTGCTCCGTCTTCTGCCGGTTCATCGACATGGCGTCCAAGCTGAGCCGCAACAGGGAGAGGACTTCTATGTGCTCCTCTTTAGGAGGAACTTGCGAGGGTTCAGTGTGCATCTGCAAGAAACCGTATCAACTCTCGTGGTGCCCCCAAAGGTTCACGTTCAAGCCCCCCAGCTTCCTCATGCTCTTTTGTAATAACCTCCTAAGAGCCAAATAGACACAGGGAGAGATCTCGGTCATGCCAACTGGAGTCCCACTCTACCGTGCTAAGGAATTACGCCGTATGAACATTCGAGGTTGCCGAATTTCCTCCGGTAAAATGTTTATTTTTGCAGCAGGTTATGGATATTTTTCCTTGAAATTTTCAGGAACACCAGGTAAAATTGCTGACAAGATTATATCAAAAATTGGATGGAAAATATTGATGATTTTACCAGGGAATTCCTGTTTTATCAAAGGAAATTTGGCAACGCCTGAAGATTCGTACGGCGTTTTTCCTCAGCTCGGCAGTAATTGATAGACAAAGCGATAGACGAAAAAAACAGAGGGAAAATAGAGCAATCCTATCGCTTGAAACAGGTAGCTGTTATAGACTGAAGGGGAAAACTGATATAGACTAATCATAGGGTCCATATGCTCAGGGTACTGTCTTCTCATCGTGTGGACTAAAGCGATGGACAAAGAAAACAGAGGGAAAATAGAGCTATCCAACGCTAGAAACGGGTAGCTGTTATAGACTAAGGGGGAAATTTATATAGACTAAGCATAGGGTCCCTATCCTCAGGCCTTGGGCACAATCCTTTTGGACTATTGTGTACTTTCACGCCCTGCTTGGATGCAAAATGAATCAATTAGACCGCTCGTAACTTATTTGTGGATGAATATCCAGCGGTTTTCCGATAAATTCTCAAAATCCGGCTTTTTGATACCCTCTTGAAAATCATTCACTGGAAAGGTCCCCTTTTCAGTATTTACTTGAACGGTATGCAAAAATGTAGATTTCTCTAGCTGTGCAGTTAAGATCAACCGTGCATGCAATAACTTTAAAAATGTCACGCTTAGCCTCAGGTGGCGGTTTTTTCCTTCCAAGAGGCAACTTCATAATATAAAGAGTGGAGTGTATTTTTAAATGTTGACTGCCAACTCACGACAAACAATGATGATCATTACTCTGTCATGTTGGAGGCGATTAGTTTTAAAATATCACGCATTTGTTTTATTATATTTACCGGTCTTATTTTCTTTTTCTTAAAAACAAGCGCGTTCACTTCCTCACAAACGCCACCGTGTTTATAAAAATTCTGGCGAGACTCGAGAAACGAGCGCTCCAAGGCTCAGAATTTCCAGACATTTTGCTGTTTCCCAGACGAAAGAACGTATCTCCATTCTAAGATTGCCAAATTGACTCGAAAAATTCAATTTTTCACGAACATATATCAATACAATTTTCGTCCAAAATCTCGGCGATTTTAGCGCGCTCGCAAACGAATATAATCAGTGAAATCTTTACCTAGAATTGCGCGTCGGTTCCTCGGTAAAAATACATTTTACGATTGGAAATTTTGCAACATTGGAGTGGATTCACGTTGTTTTGTCTGAGAAACAACGGGTTTACTTTGATTTTGAAGTGATAACTTGAGTCTTTTGCTCGTGATCTCGCAACGGAGCGTGTCAAGTGGTGTTTCACATGCGGTTCGGCTAAATATAGCGTCGGTGAGATGGTAAACATGTCATTAGTAACTGCACTTCGATATTTTTACACACACGCACACGCACCCTTACACCCTCCCGTCTCACGCATGCGACCGCGGCCCAACAAGGCTCCACGCATGCCAACAGTTGTGCGTGGATGCGACACAATGCGCGTGTCTGCGTCTGTGCTCGTTTTCAAGAAGCGTTGCCGGTGTGAAAATAATTTAGCGCGTAAATTAAAAAGGGCGCGGGTCTAATTTTTTAGAAATTGGGGAGCTCTTCAGCACGAGCACAGGAATTAAGGGGGGCAGGAAGGGGGCAGGGAGGGGGCAGGGAGGGGGCAGGGAAAGGGCAGGGAGGGGCAGGGAGGGGCCTGGTCCCCCAGAATTGGAAAGATAATTATTCCCCCCCCCCCAAATCTCCATCTTGAATGCGACAATTCAAAAGTATTTTGTGCCGAGAGTAAAAACAAGAGGACCGAGAAAGTAAAACGTGGTTTTTCCGCAGAAATTGATGGGTAATATGCGTCATGAAAGCTTCTAAATGTGTCTTAATAGGATTAAAATTTCAAAAAAATTTCGGATCCATCAAATGCAACAGTTCGAAGGTATTTTGTGCTGAAATTAAAAAAAAGCGTAACTTTGCCGCAGAAATTGGAGGAAAGCGGCAAGAAATTGCCGCGCAGAAATTGACCTCTTCGGCATGAGCATAAGAAGGGGGGCAGGGAGGGGCCTGGTCCCCCAGAATTGAAAAGATAATTATCTCCCCCTTCCCCCGAAATTTCCGGATTGCTTGAATGCAACAATTCAAAAGTATTTTGTGCTAAGAGTAAAAACAAGAGGACCGAGAAGGTAATACGTGGTTTTCCGCAGAAATTGATGGGAAATATGCGTCGTGAAAGCTTCGAAATGTGTCCAAACAGGATTAAAAGTTCAAAACAATTCCGGATCTATTAAATGCAACAGTTCGAAAGTATTTTGTGCTGAAAGTAAAAAAAATAAAGTGTAACTTTTCCGCAGAAATTGGTGGAAAATTTGTGTCACGGAAGCCGCAAAATGCGTCAAAATAGGACTAAAATTTCAGGAGATTTCCCGGCAGAGGCACTCATTGTGAAAGGGGCTCCAGGCCCTCCAAGTAAAATAACCCAGCTACGCCCATGTTCTTCAGTAAGAGGGTGTGTGAGGCTACTTGCAATACTGCCCAGATTGTGTTTGTATTTTTCATACCATTTGCAGCAAACGGAATTCATTCGACTGTAATGAACTGAGTGACTTTAGTTGGGTTCGGTTCGAATAGGCAACTAAACTAACTGCCTGGCGAAGCGAAGAGTATCGCCAGGATTTGAAGGCGCTCCATGCCGAGGCCGTGTTTTTGAAGTTCTTTCTTAATGAGACCTTTAGTACGCCGATGCAAATTATTGCGATTTGGCGAGTTAAGTTCGGGAAGTACAAGGAAAGTGGAAATTGAATATTAAAAAAAAGCACAGTTATATTTGAAAATCTACCAACCCTGGACAGACAGTTTTTTTTAAAAAAAAGTGTTTTAATACGCAGCTCCTATTTTACACAGACACTCAACCTCGCAATGAAGGTTGTTGGTAAACCACCGTGACTCAATTCATGAAAATTCCCTTTTTCACGCGTGGAAAAAGACCTTCAATTTTTTTTCAAAAATTAATCGGTGGCAATATTCACTTGCGGGTGTAGGTGGAAAAAAAAATTCCCCGTAACGCATGATCAACAAGAGAAGATCGTTGTACATCGATGACTAAAATAAAACGAAGAATGCACATCTTGATTCTAACATTTCAAAAGTATCTCCGATTATTTTTACTTTCTCGAATGAAAACTAATCAATCAGAACGAATCCGTGTAATTTTGTGGTTTTTTTTATAGAGTGAGTAAGGAAAATGCCCAAAATATTCCAGTTGAAACTTATGGTTGGTTTTCATATGAAAAATATAAATACATAATAAAGCACGAACCGAACGTTGCGATCTGAGACGCTTTTATTTTTTACTGCAGAAGTCGAATCAAAAACAGATTTCTAACGAATGCGAAAATGTTTGTACGAAATGTATCGTTTTGATTGTCGGTCAATGTCTTGTTGACATGCTCCGAACGGAGGAAATGATATAATGACAGAGACCTAAAATAAATTAGGCCGATTAAAAGTAGACCAGATTAGGATTTTCGTATCTACGCATTAGATTTATCTATTATTCACCTAATTTTCGACGATTCTTTCTGCTTTTCATCGTAGCTTTGCGTCGTAGTTTCCGTCCATGGACATTTTTGCGCAAATCCTGATACGCGATTCCTTAGGAAATATTATTTTATATATTACTGGCGAACCCCGATTTTGTATTTTACCGTAAATATGACCGTACAGCTTAACTTTTTTAACCGCAAATATAACCGTACCGCTTATTATTTATTTATTTTTTTTACTGCAAATGTAACGTTGGTTGGCAGATTGTGGAGACCAAATTTTTACAGATTGAAGCAGACTTCATTTCAGGAACACGTACAACACTCAGAAAGGCTACAAGTAAGTTATGTGGCACTGTTATATTTAAAAAAAATTAAACGCGGTACGGTTTTATTTGCAGCAAAAAAAAAAAAAGTTAAATGGTGCGGTCATATAAGCGGTAAAACACAAAACCGGGGTTTGCCTGAAATGGCGTTTGACAAAGCTAGGTTTGCCTGAAAATCAGGGTTTGCCGATAACACGTACAATTATTTGCATCAAATTAAGTAGGGAGATGAGACATTTCAAAATAATCAAGATAATATTGCTATACGTCTTTTTCGCTAAAAGAAAATACTGGAACACGCACATAATGTTTACCGACCCAATTCATTTTTCCGATTAAAAGTCTCATGAGTTAAAGTGCAGAAAGTTTGCAATTATCTGGATATGGTGTTATCGAGATTCCGGACTATCCTGTTTGACTTGGCAATCGCGCATGACCGTATAATGGACCAGGGCAAACCGATTTTAGACTTTTTAATACTTTATATTTTTTTTTAATTTTCCGTAATTACTAAATTTTAGCGTGTTTTCTGGAAGAAGGCGAATCATCTCTAAAAACATGAACTGACCTCGAATGCATTAATATTTGTAGGTATGTATTCACATGTTGGTTTCCTCTATCGATTATTTGGATATTTTCTCGACCCGATCTGTTTGGTCTAAATCAATCTGGATAAGCGCAGGTTTTGTGTAACAACTCATTGAAATCCCAAGTTTTCGTCAATTATGATACCTTTTACATTTTCAGCAACATTGAATATGCAATACTTGACTTCTTTTGGCTTAGCTCTGTCCAATTAAAAAGCCAAATAATTGAAAAGTCTGGGCCATTGAAGAGATGAGAGGCTTTAATTCAGGAAAAAAATATTAGGGTATGATAGCCAATAAAAAGCAAGCTTAATGGTTTTTCTTAGCCTGCTGTAAGATAAAGTACTGTAAGAGATGGGGTGAAAAAACTTTAAAAGAAGCGTGTAGAGTAATCTCTGAATGACCCCGCAGCTATATGTGCGTACGCTTTAAACTTACAAAGTTACATAAAGCTATTTTATAGATGGCCATAACTATAAATAAACAAGTCAAATGGCGCCTGTGGCTCAATAT